GCAGACAGTGCCGCATTCTTGCGCATGCTGCCACTCTCTGGTGAATTCCAGTACTGCATAATTTACTCAGATCAGCTCAGAAGCAAGATCCGGAACTCTTGGGGAAACATACAGGGCTGTAGCCCAAATAGCTGCCCCCTAGGTCCGCCATTGCTTTAGTACCTTTCTTGTAGTATATTCTATTAAAATTGATATGTTATTTACACACATTCTGTTCTTTACACATGTTAAAAAAGATAAATCATGGAGTACGAAAAATAAAGTGTTACTTCAATGGAAAGCCAGACTGATATGTAGTACTCTAGATTTAGTTCTCCACGTTATCAATCCGGGCCTGCTCTTATCCAATCTGTTCTGGAAATGTAGGAAAGGTCAGTAGAACTTATAGAGCTGATTGGGCGAAGCAGCAACTGGTGCAGGCCTACCAATGTTTGGATTTAGCCACTCGGGAGGTAAAATGGCACAGACATGTTTGCGACTTAAAAATGCACAAAGCCTCTCTTATGTTGTTCTTGTAAAGATAATATCATGGATTCTAAAAGAGCAGGTGTGATAGCATCTGTTTATGACATATCAATAGATTTAAATAAGTTCCATCCACTGCAGACCAGAAGATCTGACTTTTACCATGCTATGTGCTGATCCTCATAGGAAATGCTGTCTTTCCTCAGCCAAAAGAGTTCAGCTTTTGTCCACTGGGGGAGGCCAAAATCGAACAAAATGGGAAGTTCTTTAGAACTGCTTTAAACATTTATATTAGGGCTGCCACTAATGATTATTTTTGCAAAACGATTGATCTGTCGATTATTTTTTCGAATAATCCATTAATAATCGGATGGCAAAGGGTTCTGTAAAGAAGAGTTTTTATGAATGAAACCAGATGAAACTAAAACATTTGAACTTGAGTTCTGGATAGAGCATATTGACAGACAAAAACGTTTTGTTATCTTAAATTAAAGGTATAGTAAAGGATGTTCTTTTTCCGGGTGGAGCATCAAAATAAGTGGTCCTCGTAATCGTCAATCATTTTGGTGATATGTTTACATCAGGCCGTACTGCGTGCTCTTCCCCATTTTCACTTACAGGTGGTGAGTCTGACATAGTGGAAAAATTGCAAATCTTTTTTTGGTAAGTAAGCTTGTCTGAGCGATGCAAAAATAATCAAATTATGATAATTCATACAATTAATTGTTTTCAGGTTTTATAGATAGTGTGGATAATTAGGACACCCTTCTAATTTGTAATAATAATTATGTAATAATAATGCCTAAACATGAAGGAGACACATTTACCTGATATCCAAGGGGTGAGGAAGAAGTTGCAAAACCTAAGCTAAGTCATCATCTTCAATCAGACTATCATCTGGGATATGATAGCCAATTATCATGAAGTAAAACAGTCATATAGGATAATAGCTCTTGTCAGGTAGAGATCCGAGTTAAGTTGATTTGATCACATCCTCCTTGACTGTGGATGAGGCCCCATTACTACCATCAGTGTGTGAATGGGTGTGAGACTAAATGTAGTGTAAAGTGCTTTTGGAATCAACTGACTTGAAGAGGCACCATTTAAGTACAGGCCATTTACCATTTTACTTTAGTGGTGGAAAGCTGGCAAGCTCCCAGCTGTGCTTGAACCATTGGAGAGTGGTGTGGAGACACAGTGATGTCTCTTGCAGGTGAATTTGGTCCGCAGCTGCTCAAGGAACCACGGGCATGATCCAGAGTATGGAAGAAAAAAACCTATCAGTGAGTCTGGGTTGCCTTTTAGATGACCTTCAACTGGGAAATGTTTGATTCAAACAATAACATCACCTCACTTTTCCCTCCTCCATGGATATGTTTCCTGCAGACTGGAATAGTAATAGTTAAAAAGGTTGTGACTTGTGAGTATTGTGCTTTCACCTAATAAAGAAATTCTATCTAGAGGTCCAATGTATTCCAAGTGTCCTGAGTGGGTAGCGTCCATAATTTACTCGAAACGAAGTCATTTAGAATGTTTTTAG